GCTCAGATGCACCCCAGCAATGCCCACGTGCGAGGGCGACGAGAACATGGTCGCAATCACCTACGAGCAGCTGCCCAAGAGTGTGAAGCCAGGCCAGCGCATCCTCATCCAGGACATGATGCGAGGGCGACGTCGCTCTGTATCGATCTGCTGCCTGCTTTTCCTGCCAGGACGGCACCGTCATTCTGGAGGTCACGGAGGCCAAGGACGACGAGGTCCTCTGCAAGGCCTCAGGGGCTGAGGATCATGTCGGATGCAAGGGTTTAAAATGTTCCAACAATTGCTGCGCATGCCGAGGTGGTCAACAACTGCAAGCTGGGTGAGAAGAAGAACGTGAATGTTCCAGGCAGTCAAGACCCCGCTTGCGGTGCTTGGCGAAACCTCTCTGGCGCGGCAGGCGTGAAAGTAGACATCCCCGTTGTGGGAGAGCGCGAGATCAAGGCCCGCACTTTTTGTGGCTTTTGCAACATCTGCAAGGGTCCCATCTGCAGGACATCGAAGAGTGGGCGGTCCCCAACAATGCGGACTACATCGCCCTGAGCTTCGTTCAGATACATGGCACAAACCCCTTCAGATCGCCGACAGTTTCGTACGTCGTGACGTAGCGGCGACTGCTACTCGCGGCAAGGAGTGCTGATGATGTGAAGGACTGCCGCAAGCACTTCGGAGGCAAAGACATCAAGGCAGGAATCATCAACAGGACTGCTGCCTCTGTCATTTAATTACCACTAGCATTCATTGTTATTCTTGTCAGCTTTGAATCGCGCATGCAATTCAACAGCCTCCTTCAAGCCCCCAGGAAGCTCAGTAAATCTTGAAGAGAGAATGACTTTATTGCAGGTCATCTCCAAGATCGAGAACGTCGAGGGCTTGAAGCCTGTGACTCAGACCACGCATTTTTCACCCTTTTCACACACCGCACCGCTTTCTTTGAGCCTCCGAGGAACTTCGAGGAGTCGGCGCCCGAGCTTGGGGTCGCCGGCAGAGCGATTCAGTGAATATTTCCGGTCTTTGGGCTCTGACATCTGTGACCCAGGATCCTTGCGGAGTCCGACGGCATCATGGTAGCCCGCGGCGATCTCGGCATGGAGATCCCCATGGAGAAGGTCTGGATGGCCCAGAAGATGATGCTCAAGAAGACCAAGGCTCGATGACAGCATGATTGGGGTGATTGTTTGCATTTTTAGGGTGGTCTGGCACGATGACAGGCGATGAGTCGATGCTTGCGTTTGCTTGCTCAGGCAGCTGGCAAGTATGCCGTGTGTGCCACGGAGATGCTGGCCTCCATGGAGGACAAGCCGTTCCCGACCCGCGCAGAGGCCTGCGACGTGGCCAACGCCGTCTTGGATGGCGCCGACGCAGTGATGCTCAGCAGCGAGAGCGCCATGGGAAAGCCACTTGAGCTTTCAGGAGATTAGGTCTGACACTCGTAGGAGGACCGATGCTGTTAGCCTTGCCTGCGAATGGTAATAGCTTCTTACTGTAACAGCACCTCAGGTTCCCGGTCGAGACGGTGAACACCATGAGGAGGATCGTCGAAGAGGCCGAGCACGCGCTCGTGTCCGAGAAGGTCGCGGCGTGAGTAGCTTTAAGCTCCGAGCAGTCTCACATTTGTAGCACTCTTGTGAAATTCAGAGGCCTGCATATCTCTTGTGACTGCGGTGCATCTTTAGTCTTCACACTTCTCGGAAGCAGTGCGTGCAGCAAAGGGGCAGGTTATTGCAATTCTCGCTTGCAGCGAAGCCCAGGACAGGTCAGCTTTACTCGTGGCGAGCCCGTTCAGCATACCTGGAAGGTAGTCGTAGCCTGGGCTTTGCCTTATGCAGCTTTTTTCACCTAGCTTCGGCCCCAAATCGCGGCAGTGTTTTATTCTGCCTTTTCGGCCCAGACAACTCAAAGGTCATGGTGAGTGGAAAAGATGCGGAAATAGCTTCGATCAGGCCTCCCACGCCCCCTCAAGCTCTCCTGCGACTCAATAGTAGGATCCTTATTATAAGGACCCCAAAATAAGGCACCCCTTGTTTTCGGAAACTCCCATTTGCGTGTCCTTGCAAAACCGGGAGATCGGCCTCTGCGCTTAGTTGAGCCAGTGTGTGTGGGCCGAAAGCGCACCGCAAGCCAAGGCTTCATCAGAAGGGTCTCCTGTCGAACATACGAGAGCCGACTTTGCATCAAACCACGAGATACATACCACATATAGGGGCAAGCCGAGCTCAGTTGGGAGGTGAGGTCTCCGAGGATGCCGTGCAAGGGATTCATTTTTCTGCGGGATTTTTTAGGCTCGCTGTTCTGACAGTCTCCATGTCTCGTGCAGGCTTAGAGTTTTCCCCTGCCTCTCGGCTGTCGCACTCTCCTAACGAGATTGAGCGCTGGGGTTGGGCTGCTGTCGGGAGTTGTGACCGCTTAGATTCATCTCATGGTTTTGATTTCGCGGATCTTTCTTGCAAAGCAAACCGGTTCTTTGTATGTTCCCGATAAAACGCGCGATAATAAGGTTTGCCTTCGTTTTCGTTTTCGCTTGCTGCCCTTGCTCGTAAAATCCAAATGTGTGCAGTTGTTTGCTGGATCTCTGCCCCCTTTGAATCCGCTTGTGGATACTCGCCCTCTTTGCTGTTCGGTTCACTCTTTCAGCATGTGTGGAAGTGGCCACAATGCTCAGGCAAACAGCTGCGCAAGGTTGTTATAATATGTTGTTATAGTATGTTATAGTCTGTCTGGGAAGCACGTCTCAGTCCATACCTTTGCTGCGTGTCTGCTTTTTAGTACCCCAGTTTTAGTCTTGTCAGAAGTCTCACATCATGACGCGTTTGCTGGGTTCTGGCCTGGGCCTTGTCTTCCTGCAGCTCTCTCTGTGCTTGGCGGAGACCGGAACCGAGACATGCGCCCCGGGAACCCGTCGACACCCGAGCTTTCCGCCCTTCGGCCTCAGTCACAGGGAGACGGCCGAGTGGTTCAAGACAAACCTGCCTCCGATGCCACCAATACCTCAGATGAGTGCCCAGGAAAAGCAGTACGCACGATGGTCGGCAGTGGAGTATATTTCCGCCCGCCGGGCGGGGCAGGTGACTTGCGAAGCGTACACATCAGCCTTGATCAAGCGGGCCCTCTATTACAAGGACATGAATCAGTTCATGCATCTCGGTCAAAGTTGAGGAGGTTCCGGAAGGCGCTTGTGTTTGTGAGGCCTCCTATAGTTTTGTCGGCACCGAATCAGGAACTGGGACAACGATCCCGACTGGCCCAAGCGTGTGGTAGCCGCAGCCAAAGGGATGGATGAGAAGGCAAAGGCGGAGGGCCTCGAGTCCATCGCTCCGCTCTACGGTCTGCCCATCCCCATGAAAGGAACCATGGCCACAGACGACTTCATCTCTTCCGCTGGCGTTGGGATTTTGCACGACCTCCGGGCCAAGGCTGCCTTGCCAGACCTAGCTAGGGCCAAGATTAAGATCATGTCTGTTGTGTATGCTTGCAGAATGCAGGACAATGCGGACTTCATCAAGATCGTGCTTGAGAAAAATGGCATCGTCATGGGGAAGACGAACGTCCCAGAGTTTGCGGCCTCGCTTGTGACTTGCAACTACGCGAACGGTTGCACCTTGAATCCCCATAGTCACGAACTCACCAGCGGTGGGTCCAGTGGCGGCTCAGGATCGGCAGTTGGATCATACCTGGCACCCGTGGCGGTTACGGAGGACACCGGTGGCTCTACCCGTGCGCCTGCTTTCTCAAATGGCAACTTTGGCTACGACCCAACCCGTGGGCACTTTCCCAATGCTGGGAATCCAGGTATGGCCTTGATCCTGGACCAGCTGGGCCTCAATGCCCGGAGCGTCGACGACATCCTCCTCATCGATGGAGCTGTAAGTGGCTACGATCCTGCAACGGTCAAGGCCAAAAAGATCAGTGAACTCCGTGTCGGTGTGCCTCTCTACCCGTTCGTGGAGGCTTACATCCCGGCAGGGGGTGACAACCCGTATGGGTACATCGAGGTGCCGCTTGGGTTCAGCAATTCCCTCCCATTCCCGGCAAGACTCTTATCGACCCCTCTTCGCCACCCCTGAGCGAAAGGCCCCCATGGCCTACATGCCTTCCAAGCCCATCATGGCAAAGTACGAGGCAGCCAAGGAGGCTCTGAAAAAGGCCGGCGCCACACTGGTCGCCAAGGAGTGGCCATCTGAATCAGGCTGCCTGGCCGAAGCAACACCTTATCGGTCCTAAGCCCTAAACCCTAAACCCTATACCCCAAACCCCAAACCCGAGACCCTAAACCCTTAACCCCTAAATGCATGTACCGTAGAGTCCTGGAAGCTTCTGACCCCGAAATCCTAACCTTAGGGGGCTTATGGTCGAAGGATTTAGGGTTGATGTTTGGTTTAGGGTACCCGATCAGGCCAGAATGTACTCGCGAAAGCATTCTTCCAGATGAAGATGGGAAATGAAGCGGCCTGGCGGATGATTTTTTTCCCCGCATCCCTGTCAATCGCAGCCACCAGGGCCCCCCAGTTCGGTGGAGGTTATGGCTAGAAAGCGTGGATGTTCTGGGAACACAGCGCATGCCGTCGAGACTGCCTTGCAACAATCAAAACACATCAAAGGCGTGGACTCCTCCCAGCGTTCTCACAACTCAAACACTAGCCTTGCACAGCTATTAATCAGTGTAGGCAGGGGGTGTTTAGGGATGTCTGCGACAGCAGATGCTCCTTCCCGTGCAGGCGACTCGATTATTGGCTCTGGGCCGATCTGAGATCTGCTCGTAACAGTGACTAGTTGAAAGATCGTCAGCATGTACCGTGCATCTGTCAGAGATCGTCTTCGTCGTCGTCAGTCACTGCCGGGACCGTCGAGCCTCGGCTCAGGTGGTCAGTGCCCAAGGTCACGTCTTCGCCACGTACATGGGTCAGGCTTGGGTCTGTCTTGATCACACAAGCAGTCATGTGTTACTGTGTTACAGCTTTTTTGGCCGAACATGTTTTTGGTTTTGTTTGTCGTGTCACCTCCCGACAGGTGGCACAGTGGATGTATGACTACCTGGGTGCAAATGTCACTATCGAACAAGTCATTGCCGACGCGCAGAGTGCGGGTGCGGGCCATTCTCCAAGAGGCCCCTGGACAAGATCGAGTAAATTCTTGCTGGCATTGGCGAGGTTGGAATGCAAGTCGTGTCAAATACATACATACTCAAATAAGACATGTGCCGCAATCTTGATCCTTGAGCTCTGGCATCTCAGGCTTCATGACGCTCTCAAGCGTCCTGAGTGAAGCGAAGCTCAACTTCATCCTTCAGGAGTGGGCGACACAATGCAAGTACCGTAAACCCTAAACCGTCTCGCCTCCTCCTCTCTGCTCCCATCGCCACAGCTACTGTAGGACGTAGCAGCCTTTTCGCTTGAGATGTCCAGCATTTTGATAATGAGCTCCGGTGCTGGTCTGCTTCCACAACTTCGGGACATGAAGCCCAAAGAGTTGAAAACCCTAAACCCTGAGCCCATCCCCTCAGACCTAAACCAAAGCGCCTCGAGACAGGAGCTCAGGGCAGCGGGGGCTGATGCCTGGAACAGGCCCCTGGTGATTTCGGCTTGCTGCTTAAGGGTCGGTTGACCCTAAGGCTCTCCTTTTCCTTTTTTGTTTTGTTGGCCTCTTCTTTGGTGCATGATCTCTTTTGCAGGGATCTCCAAGAAATCAACATCAGCTCGTCTTGAAAGCGGGGGCGAGCATACCAAGCTTCCTGTTGTGCATAGGAAGTTGATCACAGATCGCTTCGGTGTGGGACTGCGGCAAGCTAGGAAGCAGGCATGCTCCAAACGAGGGCCCGACAGTGAAGAAGTAGTTCTTATCATACATCCAGGCATTGCTGGGGGGAGCACCACAGAAGCATGCCCACAGGCACATCTGGGACTTTCAGTCTATATCAACATCCGTTCTTCGGTGAAACTCGCATCTGCGGTTGAGGGCTGGTGCTTGTTGCGGTTTCTCCCAGTCGCTCCCCAGTGTCCTATGCTCGGAAGACTGGCACATGTACGGCGAAGGGCCCGGACCCGGACGGACCGTTTTGGCTGTAACCCTGAGCCAGAACTCACGTTCCTGCAGCCCCAAACCTCGAAAGCAAGGCTCTTCGACGAGGAGAAGCTGGATGCCATCTTGATCCCAGGGTACTTGCACACCCCTACTTACGAGTGCATGGCCGCTTCGACCTGTGTGCACCAGGCCCAGCGGCCCTCTTCCAAAAGTTCAGGGAAGGCTAGGCCTGAAGACGTAACCTAGTATAATATATTGTAGTATAGTAGTATATATTACATATATTACATATATTATATTACATATATTACATATCTTATATTAGATTATATTATATTATATTAGATTAGATTAGATTAGATTAGATTAGATTATATTATATTATATTATATTATATTATATTATATTATATTATATTATATTATATTATATTATATTATATTATATTATCAGTAGTATATGTTGTAGTATAGTACAGTATCGTATCTTATAGTTTTGTATCGTAAGTTACAGCATGTTTTGTTGCTCCCAGACTCCCTGCACACAAGCTTCCGGAATTTTAACCTC